TACCGGATGAAACTGAGAATGATTCGGTAGCGAGCAAAAATTATCAAGTGTCCCAGAAATAATGATAACAGCTGTAACGGATATGGATAACATGGGATATCCGGACAAGATAAACGGATATCCGGATCCAAGCACTACGAGAAATTCCTCCCTTTAAACCCGCTACTCTATTTAATAATGATTTCATTTTTTTAGTTTTGCCATTATAAATGAAAAATTCACAATCTTAACACAAAAATAAACCTTTTTATTGGTTTATCAAAGTGGAAAATTTTGTTAAATTTTTTCTCTACAGACTACTTCGATTAAGATAGATATCGATCAATATCTTTGTTAACATTTCCAAATCCCATTACTACCCGAGCATAATCGGGATTAATTTCAAAAGTTTGATTTCGTGTTTTTCTGGAATTAATTTCCACCTCTACGTCTGTATCACTCTCACTTGTAATCCATATAAATATTATCTCTAATCCGTCCTCAAAATCTGATAAGGTTGACTTTAAATTTGGCCAAATATTGGAGAAAAATATTCCCTCAGAATCTGAATGACTACTCTTGTCAAGAGTAATCTGTATTGGGGCAATATATAATTTATTATTTGTTTTCGAAATCAGTAATCCATCGATTGCCTCTTGGTTCCAACGGCGTGGTAAGTAAAGTATACATTTCCCTTCATTCGAAGAAAATCTAATTTCTTTTTCATCGCAAAAAAATTCTATATCATTAGGCTTAAAAGTTACGCGATTCGCCATAATTCCATTCTTAAAAATACTAGCAATACACGCCTTTTCCGCAAAAAATCCTTTAACCGATCGGTTGTTTTTAAATTTCTCTATGCAACTGATCCACTTTATATCTGTGAACATTTCCATTCGCTTCTTTTCATAGAGATAATCAGCCATGCAATCCCGTGCCACCCCACAAACATAATGACATAGTTCATTTTCAATGTAGAAAAAACGATGATCAAAATCACTAACTCCATAACCACTTGGAGGATATCTTTTTGTCAGAAACGATGACATCAATTTGACGTGACTGTAAATAGAGAAGTCAGTTTTTGTACAGTTTACCAATTACGAATCAAACCAAAAATACATACAATTCCTGCCTTCCTTCTGGTATATTGTCTGAAAAGTTTCTCATCGGCTCCTTTATCTTTGGTATTAATTGTTGATTTAAGTAGCCCAGCGCATCTTCAAAATTTTTGTGACTAGATTCTAGCAAAACGTTTAAGAAAAGCGGAATTTTGCCGGTGATGACTTCAATTTGATCTTTTTGCCAATTATCCATTGTTGGCAAACCAGAATTATGCTTCTTCCACCATTCTTCCATCTCCTCCTAAATTGAATATTACATTAATATGTAGAAAATTCACAACGTAGGTCATCTTAATCATACCTCATCGAATCCTCCATAAAGCGTAATTTTCTTTTCATTGGTCTGTTTTTGCTTAAGATGCAATACTGCATAGTTGTTTGCCGAAGAACTCTTAATATAAAAATGGCCCAAGCACAATTTATCAATATTTTCTTTAACTTGTAGCTTTTTTTCTGGGTTAATTCCAGTATCATTATAATCGTCCAGAGCGTTCATTTGGTCTACAATAAAATATAATGTTTCATCTAATGATCTGCAAAATTTTATAATTTGGTCAAAACTTTCACAGGTATTAATTTTGCTTGTTTTCGCATCATCATCTACGTAGGTGAGAAATAAGGCTGATTTAATGTATATTATTGGGTCTAAAGCCAGTTCGCGACAATCGGGAAGATATACAACACGCTTTCCGATCCTTATAAGAAAACAAGCTATTGCTGTGAGAATGTAAGACTTTCCATAACCTACTGTGCCATAAATAAACATTCTCATATAACCTGTGCTCGATCTGAATTCTTTGATTTTGTCTAGAACACTGTTAAATTTCTTCCTTCCCATGAAGGTAAAAAAACCATCAACATCAATAACAAACCTATCAACTGGTTTATTTGATCCAGGGTATGGGAATGGTAATGAAAGAAAATTTTTTGGGTCTGAATAAACGTCACAAATATCAGGAAGTTTCATTATGCTCTCCATGATTTTACTAGCAGTTGCTAAAAAAAATTATGCATGTTAAGATGATTGATGTTCGGTTTTAAAATAAAAATCTAAAATTATACACACCTACTAGTTTTACTTTTTTACTTTCTCGGCCTTCACCTCTCTCTTCCGAATCATCTCTGTTTCTTTTTTCTGATCGAATATACTATAATTAGCCAATCAAAATTTAAGAATCGACAACGAATCAGATGGATATTCAACCATGCTGTTATATCCGGAGTTGACTTTATTAATATAATCATATTTGTTCTTGACTACATTTTGATTTGATATTTAATTACAAAAATGTCAACTATTATTACTA